CCCCAAAACCCCAAAACCCCAAAACCCCACTAGAGTCTAAGTTTATTTAATATTGTGAAATATTTTATTAAATAATTTTCTAAACTTCCAAAGATATATACTAGCAATGTAAGCAGCGTTCCTCTCAAAACTTAAGTCTGCTTTGAGTCATAAACTCCAGGAGTTTGATGATAAGTCAAAAACTCTTGCAACAGAGAACCAGAAGTTCGAACAAGGCAAAGTGAACATGCTCTCATCTCTGACAAGTAACATGAATTTCAAAAAGAATATCCAATCTAAGCTTGAGACGGCTAGATAGAGACTTGAACAGACTCAGCATGATCAATTAGCACTGTAAAGATAGTATGAGGACACCGAAGCCAACTTGTAAAAGGTTCAGCAAGAACTTGAGAGAGTTGAGAAGGAGAAGAACTTCATCGACAACGTCAGCAACCAGGTTATTGAGAAGAAAAACTAGGAATATGGCTAAAGACTAAAAGCCAAGGATGAACTTGAATCAGATGCAAGAGATGAAATTAAAAGACTACAACAGCAAATTGAAAAGGAGAAGCAGAGACTCAGAGAACTCTAAGATCAGTATGATAGAGGCAAACTTGAACTTGATGGAATCGAAAGACAAATCAAGCTGAAGGAGGAAGAGGCAAAGAACCAAGACGATTTGAATGATCTAGATAAATAGAAAGCATTGCTCTAGGCCAAAAATCAATAACTAAAGAATGATATTGCTAAGGCCTAGCAAGAGCTTGACAGTCTCAAGGACAAGAACGCTTCACTACAGGGTTAAATTGACAAGCAAATCAAGGATAACCAAAACGCAGAGCTGGAAGTCGAGAATGCCAAAAGACAGGCTGCATAGAGGGATGATGTAGAAAAATAAATTGAAGAATAATAAAAAGCAAGAGATGCACTCAAAGACAAGGTCAAGGATCTCTAAAAGCAACTTGACGAACTAGACAAGGCTATCAAGTAGAAGGTGCTTGAGAATGCTGCACTTCAAAGTCAAATAGAGGTACTGATGCTATTTGTGGCTTACGAACGAGAAATCAAAAGAGTAGTGGGAGATCTATAGAATTTGGAATCTAAGCTGCTTGATTTCAATCTTTAATATGAATAATAAACTAGACAATTAAATAGCATTCAATCTCAGCTTTAATTCCACCAGAGAGAATCATACTTTGAACTTGCATATGATTAACTCACTAAGGTAGATTTGATTCAACTTAAGAAGAGCATCAACCACTTACAATCTGACTTCGATAAGTTTAAGAGACAGATATTTGAGATCATCAATGACAAGTTAACAGACAAGGAGATCGATACTAACTCGGATGCTCTTAAAAAAGATGTCAAGGCTCACATCGCAACTTTACAAAATATTGCAGAGTAGATAACTTAAATTACCGGTTAAGACATGGTAGAAGTTGATGGTTTAATTGATAGAGTTAAGGGTACTTTGTCTGCCGAGGAAATCAAAGCTAAGGAGAAGATGCTTCATTCCGTTTAAGTCGACAATGAAGAGGAACAGACTAAAATCTAGGCACTTGTCAACCAAGTTAAAAATTCACAGAGAGATAGAGCAAAGCTTGAAAGACTCATAAAACTGAAGATGGAGTGTATCAAAGAAACAGGCAAAAAAGAGAAAATTTTCAAACTCATGCTCAAGTTATCAGAGGTGAATGAGCACTTGCTAGCAACTAAATTCTTCCAGAATGAAAGAGACTCGCAGTCCCTTATTCAATCTACCGCTAAGTCATTTACAACCAAAACTGACCTTTCAAAAATTCTTACTCTCCTTGAGGAATATGACTATTTTGTGTTCTAATTGAAGCAAGCTTAGTCAGACATCAAGGACTTTGAATTCTAGTTGCTAACCGTAAAGTAGCTCTACGAAGATCTTGACAGCAGCTTTGCTGTTCAGAAGACTCAGGATCTTTACGATAGAATGAGACAACTCAATGTTAACTCCCATCAAAACGAGCTTAATGATATTGCTGACTAAGTTAATGGATGGAGATAGCAAGTTTAGGATTTCAGACAAGGCAGAGCTACTTCAACTAGATCTGTTGGAAAACATTAAATCGAACTCATTGATCTATTTGACAAGGAGTGCGAGCTAGCTTTGGATGTGGTCACCAAGAACCAGAGAGACTTCTAAAGAGTCCATTAGAACTTAGAGTCCATCACCTAACAACTCAACAAAGGCGATCAATAATAAGTAGCTGCCTCTCCAGAAAGCCAGGAAATTGATGAAGTAGAGGTCACTGATAAACTAAGTGAACTTGCTAAGATTGAATTCTCATTGGAAAAACTAGAGGATAGATACAGAGACGGGCATAAATACTTTGAAAATCAGGTAAAGAGATCATTCAAAGGAGCTCAACTTAAATGGATTGATATTGAAGATGCAGTAAAGCTTTGAGTCAAGCTATGATCATGATTTGCGATAAGAAACACACAATTATTTTTTTACAATTATTTAAGATATTCAGATTCTACTTATTATCATCATCTGGGGTTTTGGGGTTTTGGCG